AACTTGCATTTTTATGGAGCGCTTGACAGTGTCGGAGTCTGACCCCGAGCCAGGGGGAGAGGGAGGTGACATAGGCATGATCAAAAAGGAAGATCTTTAAAAGGAATTTGAAGGTGGGGAGGGATGCGGCAAGACAAGGGATTGAGGGAGACAGTTTCCTGTCTGACCTAGAAAATGTGTTCAGTACCATGCACCTCAATTTTAGCCAGTAATTTCCAATGGGTAACTTTACTCCCTGTCTCAAGTTAATCCCTAGGACTTTTCTCAGACGTGTGAGAGGTGAAGAACACTTTAGTTCAATAATACACACAGATGAACCTTTTTTTTTAAATGGCTCTATCGGTTTACATTGACATTTGTCATTTGCTTTGCTTTTGTTACTTTACAATCTCCTTTAATGCTTAAACCAGTATCGATAACCTTATTGAAGTTCTTTGACCTTGTTCTTAAATGGAACGATTTATTTGTTCAGCAGAACACAGTAAATTAACTTTTCAGTGCCCTTACAGTCAAGAAGTGGTTGATTTACTGAAAGCTGCACAGGAGTTAAAGAGGAGATAAGATTCTGGAATTATAGAACAACTTACAGTTATATAGCACTCTTCACTTAAGATAACATCTCAAAGTGCTCCATAAAGATGACATCTAGACCTGTGGGGAAAGGGGGATGAAACCATAGGCAAAGTCAAAGAGGTGTAGTTTTAAGTGGAATTTAAACACAGATAGCAAGGGATGGAGGGTAAGGTAGGGGCATATCAACTGAGAGTACCAATGGTTAGGGGTGTAGTAGCAGATTATAAATAAATTAAGAATAAGTATGCAGATAGTTGCAAAGTAATGGCCCTGTCCACCTCTTTATACTTTGCAGTTAGAGGTTAATTACTGAAGCAAATCATTCATGGGATAGAATAGATCTATCTATTTTGGAGTCCTGTAGTTCAGTGGTTAGAGCACTCGCTTTGCAAGTGAGAGACCTGAGTTCAATTCCAGGTAGGGCGAAACCTTGGGCAAGTTTCCTTATTCCACACGCCTAATAATAATCCCTCCAAAACAAAAAACAATAATAAATTGGTCATTTTCAATCTACGACTGTTTGTTGGACATTGCTGTGCGCAATTGGCTGCCGCGTTCGCCCACAAATATACAGTCAATTCACTTTACAGTGTGTTCTGTGAAGCGCTTTGGGATGTCCTCCCGACGTGAAAAGCGCTATATCAAATGCAAGGATTATTAATATTATTATTATCAACAACAACAGTATTCTGTATTATATAGTGCTTTTTCAGGGGCATTTAGCTGGCTGCTTGTTCTAAACATAGATGCATTTTTAAAATGATTTATGCAACTTACTGAGGAAGTGGGACCTTGAACAAGTCTGGTGCCACAAGGCCTGACAGCACCTGTATGACTGATTTTGCTTTGATGCTCCAAGGATAAATATTTATCACGTGTAGAACTATTGCATGCAATAATAATCCCTCCAAAAACCAAAAACAATAATAAATTGGTCATTTCCAATCCACGACTGTCTGTGGGACACTGCTGTGCGCAATTGGCTGCCGCGTTCGCCCACAAATATACAGTCAATTCACTTTACAGTGTGTTCTGTGAAGCACTTTGGGACGTCCTCCCGACGTGAAAAGCGCTATATCAAATGCAAGGATTATTATTATTATTATTATTGCCATCTATTTTGTTGTTTGTGAGTGACCGTCCTTTACAATTCTTTCGTTTGTGCAAATATAGTCAAACCCGTTTTAGGAACCACTCAGAGGACTGGATCAAAGTGGCTTTTGAGTAAGGGTTCATTGGTTTGTTGACCGGGCTCAAAATTTAAAAAAAATTCCATGACCCGCTAGATTCCTAGCACATTTACCAAAGCTGTCTTATCGGTAAGACAGGCATCACATGGGCTGCTCAGTGAGTGTTGGTAAATACGCTAGGAGTCTCGCTGGAGTCCACACAAGGTCCTGCAGAAATCGCTAATGAATTGCTAGTAAGTGCACTTAAATTCACTTAGAACTGGTCACTGAAAAGACAGGGTATCTTGAGCTGAACTGGCTCCAGGGTGATACACTTGGCAGCAACAGAATGTCAGAATCTCTATTCTCTATGGCGATTTCATTAGTTGGGTACTTGAGCCAGGCGGGTCTACAGTACTCCAGAACACTGTTGATGGGAGAGTCAGCCTGGCTCAGTGCTAGGACTTGGAGGGGCAGACAAATCACTAGTGCGACGATTCAGCTCCTATTAAGCTTGTATTGCAGAGCCCTATCTTGTAGGGTGATCTTAGCTGGGCAAACTGCAGGAAGCTTGCCAAATAGTGCTCTCAATGGAAATAGCTGATGAACCTCCAAAAGGTGTCATTTTGGAATCCCAGGCCTTAGCTGTTGTCAACATGCATCTAATACTCTCCGGAAATGGTTAAGCGGGGTGTATCCCTCTGGGAGAGAATCCACCTTCCATGACAGACAAGGGGAAGTTCCTAGATAAGATGGCATACATATATATGGAACTCACAGATCGACTTCAAGATCCTCTCACTCGTTTTCAAATCCCTTCATGCCCTGGCATTTCTGTCCCTCTCCAACCTGCTTACTTCCCAACCCACAACCCGCTGCCTCCGCTCGACTGGCTCTGGTTTTCTGCATGTCCCTCATGCCCTCTGTTCCACCTTTGGTGGCCGCGCTTTCAGCCACTACCCCACGAAACTCTGGAACACTCTTCCTCCATCCCTTCGCTTTGCCCTTCCTTCCCCATCTGCAGGTCACTCCTGAAGACCTTCCTATTCGACTGTGTCTACAGTCATTCCTTCCCTCCTCCCGGTTCGGCGTTGTGCTCCGCCACTGTCAAGCGCTCTAGGACGCTACCCTCGGTGAGGGGCACTATACAAATGCAAGTTATTACTGTTGTCGTTAATGTTTGGATAATCTTAAGCAACGTGATGGGGTTCGGCATGTGTCAGACATCAGACTTTGGTCTGATATGCAAATTTTCATCACACGAGTCTCTAAACTTAAACCACCGAGTTCCACATATACAATCTAATTAATAAACACTGAGAGTCTCGGTGCATAGCGAATGCTGTACCCAAACCAAGGCTATAGCAGAGTGTGTATTGGGCTACTGCTGGAGTTTAACAAGCGAATACTGCAGCATGGTACTGCAGAGCATTGATAAGCATTGTGCTGCTTGTCCAGTTAGTTTTACCCTACGGGTTAGAGTTTGGCTTGCAGAGTTAACAGGAGCAAAGTATCTCGGGAGTGCGAGAGAGGTTCTGGACTGGCCTGCCTGAATATCAAAGCAGTGTTGAAATGTTGGATGAACTTTGAGCTTATAGCAAGTAATTGAGAGGAAAAGAGTACATTAGAATACATTAGAATATAAGCACAGAAACAGGCCATTCGGCCCAACTGGTCTATGCCAATATTTATGCTCCACATGAGCCTCCTCCTGCTCTTCCTCAACTAAGCCTTCAAGCATAACCTTCTATTCCTTTATCCCTCATGTACCTATCTAGCTTCCCCTTAAATACACTATTTGCCTCAACAACTCCTTGTGGAAGCACGTTCCACATTCCCACTACTCTCTGTGTAAAGAAATTTCTTCTAACTTCCCAATTTGATCTATTGTGACTATTTTATAATGATGGCCCCTGGTTTTCGTCTTCCCCCACAAGTGGAAACATCTTTCCTATGTCTACCCTATCAAAACTTTTCATCATTTTAAAGACCCATCAGGTCACCCTTACCCAAGAGACAAAAGTCGAAGCATGTTCAGCCTTTCCTGATAGGTATAACCTCTCAGTTCTGGGATCATCCTTGTGAATCTCCTTTGCACCCTCTCCAGTGCCTCTACATCACTTCTATAATGTGGGGACCAGAACTGAACTGCACACAGTATTCTAAGTGTGGTCTAACCAAGGTTCTGTAGAAGTTTACCATAATTTCCCTGTTTTTCATTTCTATCCATTTCTATAGTGTTTGACACTAAAGAGAATCATTTATGTGTAAAAGTTAAGCAGTGAAAAAAGATGTCACTGAAGACCACAATGTTAATGGGTTCAAAGTTGTGTTTGCTCCAGTCTTTTCAAAGAAGGCTGCTTACTTTTTTTTTAAACTTTAACATAAATGGGATCAACTATACGTTTTCCTGCTCTTGCTGAAAATGATTAAATACCCCCTCAATTAATATTTAAACTGGCCCCATGTGATGTTCAAACCTATTTGCCTTGAATGGGTTTCAACCCTGACCCTTACATTCCTGGTCTGCTCTATCAATGGATTGGAAGGAGATTTGTTTGGTCAGGGTTCAAGCCATTGCAAACTTGTACTCCAAAAAGTATTTTTTTGTGGGGAGAAATGCAATGTCGCAGGTGCTGTCCTTAGGATGAAATTTAAACTGATACCCTATCTTCCCATCTTAGATGGATGTTAAAGATCCTATGACACTATTTGAAAAGAGGAGTTTCTCCTGGTGAGCCGATAAATAATCCCCCAGATAAATTGGTCATTTACTTCATGGCCTTTGGGGGTATGTTGCTGTGTGTAAATTGGCTGTCACGTATGCCTAGAAATACGACAGCCAATTACACACAGAGGTGTCTCACAAACAGTAATGGGTTGATTGACCACATTTTTTTTCTATTTTTTTAAAAAGGATTATTACTCCCAGAAAGCAATCCGCCAATCGACTAACAACGCGGCTCATACTTACTGCTAGGTAAATAGAGTCATGTGGAGTACAGAAACTTGCCTAAGGTTTCACCCCGCCTGGGAATCGACCCTGGGTCCTCTCGCTTTCGAGGCGAGTGCTCTAATCGATACACTACTGGACTCCACTGTTATTATTATAAAAACCATCTATTTCCGTAAATATTGGAAAGTGCATCATATCTTGCCTGAAGTATCTGAAACTATTGAAAAGGATTGTTAAACATTGTCTACAGAGATTATATGTTTTGTTTTAATCTAAAAACTAACTAGTTTCATTCTTTCCAGGCTGCTGTGGCTGGAGGCACCACCATGATAATAGACTTTGTGGTGGGCCAGAAAGGTGTCTCCCTACTAGAGTCTTATGAGAAATGGAGAGGCTGGGCAGATCCTAAAGTCTGCTGTGATTACTCCCTACATGTGGCTGTAACCTGGTGGAGTGAGAAGGTACAGTATGAAAGCACTGGTACACAAGTGTTTTATTGTGACAACAACAACAGCTTGCATTTATATAGTGCCCTCCATGCCGGGCAGTATCCCAGAGCGCTTAACAATAAAGCCCCACAAATTCCAATGTTATATATTGGAATGTTATAATAGTGTGCTGCAATGTTATAATAATAATAATAATCCTTGCATTTGATATAGCACCTTATCATGTCTTCGAGACGTCTCAAAGCGCTTCACAGAATATGCTGTAAAATGAATTGATTGTACAATTCACTTTTCACTTTGTGGCGTCCTATAGCTCAGTGGTTAGAGCACTCGCTTTGCAAGTGGGAGACCTGAGTTCGATTCCCAGCAGGGTGAAACCTTGGGCAAGTTTCCTTACTCCACACGCCTGATAATAATCCCTCCAAAACAAAACAATAATAAATTGGTCATTTTCAATCCACGACTGTTTGTGGGACACTGCTGTGCGCAATTGACTGCTGCATTTCGCCCACAAATATAGTTTATTCACTTTACAGTCTATTCTGTGAAGCGTTTTGAGATGTTTAGAAGATGTGAAAAGTGCTATATCAAACGCAAGGATTACTATTATTACATTATGTGGGCGAAACACGGCAGCCAATTGCGCACAGCAGTGTCCCACAAACAGTCGTGGATTGAGTGACCACATTTTTTTTGGAAGGATTATTACTTCAGGGCAATGTTCCGCCAATCGACTAACAACCGGGTTCCTATTTACTGCTAGTAAACAGCATGTGGAAGAAGGAAACTTGCCTAACATTACATTACAATATCCCAAATAAAATGGATTATTTCATATTTGTTTGTGGAACATTGCTGTGTGCCATTTTCACCTACAAATACACAGTCACTCCATTTCACAGTAAGTTTTGTGAAGTGCTTAGAGAACCGTCCTACCATGAAAGGAATTGTATCAAATGCAAGGATTAGTATTGTTATTTAACTATCAATGTTCTTTTCCGGTCAATCTCTTGAATAGCACTGAGCTCCACAACCAATTCCCCTTTAATCTGCTTGTTTTGTAGGTGAAGGAAGAAATGGAAATTCTCGTCAGAGATAAAGGTGTGAATTCCTTTAAGATGTTCATGGCTTACAAAGATGTCTTCATGCTTCAAGATGATGAGCTGTATGCTGCTTTCTGCCAGTGCAAGGAGCTAGGAGCAATCGCTCAGGTTCATGCTGAAAATGGGCATTTAATAGCAGAAGTAAGTTTGGGCATAACAGTTGCCTTATTTGAACAGTGTACAAACTTCACCTCTTTTACATTAATCTATTTGTTCCCTTTATCTTACAGAAAAGTACTATTATTATAATAGGATCAATTTTATGATGTGATAATTAATACCTAAGAGCTAATTTACACTGATTATTTAGTGACTTTAAGATATTTAGCACTTTGACAGTTCCATGGTTGTAGTGAAGGCAGGAACTGTTCCCCACCCTCTTCCTCCTCATTCCCCACACAATGCCCTCTCATTGATCACACAATGACCATAATGTACACTGAACTTTGTATAGCAAGATACTAGCTTTACTCTGTTGTAAAGTCAATATGCCCCCTCAACCTTGCCACAAAGTATCAGCCTGGTTCAGTTTGTAGCGTTCTTGCCCCTGAGTCAAAAATCTGTCGGTTGAAACCCCATATTGAACTCACAGAATAGGCTTATGCTCGGTGCAGTGCTGGGACAGTGCTGCATTGTCAGCGGTGTCGTCCTTTGAATGAAATGTTAAATGTTATGTCTATTCAAGTGGATATTAAAGATCCCATTGGTTCTACTCCCACTTTTCGAAAAGAGAATGAGTTTCTCCTGATGTCTTGACCAACAATCCCCCAAATAAAATTGGTTACTCACTCCATGGCCATTTGTGGGACATTGATGTGCACAAATTGCTTGCACGTTTACCTATACATACATAATCACTACACTTCACAGTAAGGTTATTTAAGATATCTTGATACTGTATTAAGGCACTATATCAAATACAAGGAAGATCAATATTACCAGTGTTGATTACCATATCACAACCTTTACCCCAATAATCTTTAATAACATTTGCATTGATATAGAAACCATAAAATAAGGGAACCCGTAACTGAATAGTTGAGTGTATTTTGATAGGCAAACATGGCAGCCAATTTGAAAATAGCAAGTCCCACAAACAACCATGAAGAGAATGATCAGTTTTGTTTTGAGGAATGTTAGTCAGGACAGGGAGCTATGAGATTGAAGAGAAACTATCAGAGAGATGCCCCATTAGGCATTCAGTCTTCTAACCACTCCCATGGCAAAGAAGAGCAGGAAGTGTACCTGCAAATTCAATCAAACTGCAAATGAACTGGTCAGTTATTTGTTGCTTTTTATCAGTTGTCACTAGTGAAGACTAGTAGTTCAGTTTGCTGGTATACACCAGTCACTGTTCTTCACTTCAAGGTTATTGTATGAAATGCTATGAGCTGAAATGCACTGTATCAAATGCAAGTGTTATCAAAATGTGTATTAATAAAGTAGAGTTTTTAACACTTTCTACTGTAGAAATATTTCATAAAGCTTTTCTTTTCACAGAGCTCTAAGAAGTTGCTAGCTATGGGATTCACTGGCCCTGAGGCTCATGAACTTTGTCGACCTGAATCAGTCGAGGCTGAAGCCACACAAAGGGCGATCACCATAGCGAACTATGTTAACTGCCCCCTCTACATAGTCCATGTAATGAGTAAATCGGCAGCTGATGTGGTTGCCAAAGCACGGAGAGAAGGTGAGCGAGATAGAAAGCTGGTCCCTTATTCTTTCTTACATGGCTGTTTGGTAACTGTTAATGTCTCACACATGTGTATGAAATTGGGAGGATCTCTAATTCTGTGTGCGCATGTTTGCATGTGTATGTGTTTCTCTTTCTCTATTTCTCTTGCTCTAATCTTGTACGTATCTAAATTATGCTGTTGATTCAGTCCTGCTACATTCAAATCACAACACTCCAAGCCTCCTAGTTACATTTTGGAGGCTGAGGCAACACTGAAAACATTCAGTTGCAAATGCCTAAAAACTAACTTTCAGTATTCACCAAACTGAGCCTTGCAGCATTTGTCTCCAAAAAATAACATTTCACATGACAGTCGTTGGTGTAAAGAGCTTTAAGACCGTTCAACTTTTTACATGTTGTAAAATGTCTTAATACTGTAGACATTTTGTGCCTTGTAGCACATTTTGTGTTCATAGGATGGTGCCATATACCTTTACTGTTCATCAAGGATTTTTTTAACAAATTCTTTCCATCAATACCAATATTCTTTGCATTTGACATTGTGCCTTATCACATCATGGAGATTTCTCAAAGCACTTCACAAGATTTTTTGTAAAATGCAGTGATTCTGTATTTTGTAGGTGAACACAGCAGCCAATTTGCACACAGCTATGTTCCACAAATAGCCATGAAGTGAGTGACCAATTTTATTTAAGGGATTCGCTGGTCAGGAAACCTGGAGAAACTTCCTTTTCTTTTTGCGTAGTGCCATAGATCTTTAACGTCCACCTGAACAGACAGACGGGATTTTGGTTTAATGTCTCATCCAGAGGAAGGCACTTCCGACAGTACAGTACTTTCCCAGGACCGCACTGAACTGTCAGCCTAGAGTGTGAGCTCAAAGTCCTGACATGTAGTGTAATATCGTATGACTTTGTTGGTGGGCAATTTACGGACCACAGAATGGGGAATTTGTAAAAGGGATTGATTTATCATGTAGATTTTCCTGAGTACGCTACACACTATTTGATGCGGCGAAATTGGCAGGTACGTTTGTGCAGAATATTGGAATTTTGTGACTTCTGGTTCCTGATCCAAGCATTGACATTCACGGTAAATATAGAGACTGGTCACATGCACCTACCATGGCAGAGGCTTGGAGCAGCTCAGCTGCTCAAGCTTTTGCTGGGCAATCATGTGTTGCTATTTCATTTTTTTAAAAATTGGGGAGAAGATTAAGAAATTTGCCCCTTAATAACAAGTACTCATTGTTCTTGCTAAATGTTTCCATCTCAACAATGTGTTTTTTATTTGTAGGGAAGGTGGTTTTTGGGGAGCCCATCGCAGCCAGTCTAGGCACTGATGGGACTCATTACTGGAACAAAGACTGGCGCCATGCAGCAGGTTACGTCATGGGACCACCGCTCAGACCCGATCCTACAACGCCAGGCTACCTCATGAACCTGCTAGCCAAGTGAGTAACATCAACTTAAGATTGTAAGAAAAGTCAAGTGTGAAAAAAGATCAATGGGATCCCCAAAACGTCCTTCTGCTCTTTATCTCACCCAGTGTACAGGATTGGAGGATCAGTAAAATAGAGACCACAGTGATTCATCTGATCATTCTCACAGGAAAAAAGGAAATTGGCTTTGATGGAAGTTTTGTTTAGCCTTGGTACTCATTCAGGAATTGTCTTGATGCTATATTTGGAAGACAGTAGAGTGGTATAGTTTAGAAGGTTGTGATTAGATAGGCTGACATTGGCTTCAGTGCCACTTATAGTAAGAAGCGTATCAGGATATTCTCCAGTAGCTTGTGTTTTGGTGCCCAGCTCATGAATGGCATAAGCCTACAAATATCACTTTTGAGGGAAGTAGGGCTTGTCAGAGAGAATATTGATCGCCACCTCCAGGATTCCATTCTTGATGGTCTTTGTAATGAAATGATTCAAGGCCATCTTCCATTCAAGGAAGAACATTCTTGGTCAAAGCATTGAAGCCTTGTCGGTGAACCAAACTCAACAACTGCTGACTGTTGCGCAGTCCTGTAACTCAGTGGTTAGAGCCCTCGCCTCGTAAGCGAGAGACCTGGGTTTGATTCCCGGCAAGGCAAATCATTGGGCAAGTTTCCTTACTCTACACGCCTCTGTTTACCTAGCAGTAAGTAGGAAGCCGGTTGTTACACAATTGGCGGATCACTTTTACAGGGGTAATAATTTCTTAAAAACAATAATAAATTGGTCACTCAGTCCACAACTGTTTGTGGGACACTGCTTTGCGCAATTGGCGGCCACGTTTCAACAACAACAAGATTGCATTTATAGAGCGCCTTTCACTTCGGGAGGACGTACCAAGACCCACAAAATATACAGTCAATACACTTTACAGTATATTCTGTGAAGCGCTTGAGACGCCTCGAAGACGTGATAAGGCGCTATATCAAATGCAAGGATCATTATTATAAGTATTGTTGAAGATGCCCGGCATCAAAGATCTGAGGGACCGAAGAGACTCCTTGCTGACACCTTAATAATAATAATAATAATAATAATCCTTGCATTTGATATAGCGCTTTTCACGTCAGGAGGACGTCCCAAAGCGCTTCACAGAACACACTGTAAAGTGAATTGACTGTATATTTGTGGCGAACGCGGCAGCCAATTGCGCACAGCAATGTCCCACAAACAATCGTAGATTGAAAATGACCAATTTAATTATTGTTTTTGGTTTTGGAGGGATTATTATTAGGCGTGTGGAGTAAGGAAACTTGCCCAAGGTTTCGCCCTGCCTGGAATTGAACTCAGGTCTCTCACTTGCAAAGCGAGTGCTCTAACCACTGAGCTACAGGACTCCACCTTGTGAGTTATGCTCCAAGAGGGAGTCAAACCACAACATTTCTTCTCAACTCTCCCCCTACGTACACACATACACACATACTACACACACACACACTACACAACAACAAATTTACATTTATAGAGCGCCTTTCACGTCAGGAGGATGTCCCAAAGCGCTGAACCGTCAGGTGTCGGGGGCAGGGAAGGCAGAGAAGTGGGAGGGTGACCAAAGGCATGGTCGAAGAGAAAGGTCTTGAGACCGGCCTTGAAGGAGGCAAGGGAGGAAGCAGACGAAGGGACCGTGGGATAGAGTTCCAAAGTGTGAGGGCAGAGAGGCTGAAAGCCCGGCCACCCATGGTAGGGTGGGTTGGGCAGGAGACATGGAGCAGACCGGAGCCCACTGAATGGAAGGAGCTGGCAGGGTGGTAAGGAGTCAGCAGGTGTATAATAATACACACACACACCACACACACAAACCTCACTTTAAATTACTTTGCTCTGTAAATGAAGGGTTCACGATGTCAAAATTGGACAATAAAATGTAACATAGACAATTGCGGTATTGATATTGGCTCACTGGTATCATGAACATTTGGTAACTCTTTTGATCGTTGATCACTAAATCTCGCAATCTTTTCATTATATCTTTATAATAGGAAATCTTATCTTATACGTAACAAAAGATTGCTAATTTTACTTATACGTTTGAAACAATAAAGCAATCTAAAGCCTTTATTGCTCTTTGCTTTCTTGCCCTGATTTTTCTAATACATTGCTTGCTGGCCTCCCCAGCTAATTCAGACACCAATCATCCCAATCTTTGTAGGATTCACTGACTTCCTGTTTTCTAACCTTTGCTTGATGACCAACCCCATCATTGTGAAGCACTCTTAGATGTAACACATTGCATTTATAAGCACCCTTTGTGAAGGCAATGCAGTGTATGAATGCAATTTATTGTTGCTGAGTCCCATGTTAGACGAATGATAATTGGACATGGAAGTCTGATTATTTTTTGGTTCCAGGATCTCTGAGCAGCAGTATAATATTACAGGTTAAATAGAATGCACAAATAGAAATAATTTAAAGCCCCTTCACTGAGTGGCAGATCTAAACTCTGTTTTTCTTTCCTTTTGTTTCACAATCACTCTCTCTGACAACCAGCTCTAAATAATAATTTAAAAAATCCTTACATTTGGTAGGATCTTAGCGCCTTTCACATCAGGTGGATGTCTCAAAGTGCTTCACAGAATTTACGACAAATTGGATTCCTGTAGCATCCTTCATACAGGATAGCATCTCGGGAGTGTCGAACCCAGGATGTAGTCGCTATAGCTAGGATTAAACGAACACTCACAAACAGAGTTAGCTCAGAAATATAGTTTATTCAAATACTTGCAGCAAGGAGAGGGGAAGCGAGAGGCAATACAATAGCACGTCTCTCAGAAGAGTCGGTTCTCTCCCTCTAACAATGGGGCAGTCCCATTAGTTTATATACATGATTATTTGCAATCACCTCATGCTTAACTCGTGTCTCAAACAATTCTTGCTGTTGATTGACAAGAATTCAATCATCACAAGCTTGATTATACATTCGCAGACAGTGCAAGGACACTGGTTCTGCTCTACCTATCTACAGCTGTTGCTCAAAAACAACTCTAATCTTATCATTGTCGAGACACTCTGTACTTTACGTGTTTTGCCATGCAAGGGGGAAGGGTGAGGTTACCATAGGCACAGTTGAAGAGGTAGGTTTTAAGGTGGGATTTAAAGATAAATAAAGAGACACAGCGAAGAGATTGAGGCAGAGAGTTCCAGAGGTAAAAGGAGTAATGATTTCCTGTAAAATGGAGTGACTGTACACTTTGTAGGTGACTTGACTCTGTACAGCAGCCAAATTTATACAGATCGGTGTCCCACAAATAGTTACCAAATTATTATTAAGTGAATGACCAATTTTATTTGTTGGGGAGGGGGTTGTTGGCCAGGACACCGGAAGAAGCTTCCTTCTTATTTTGAATTGTGGGAGACAGTACTTTATTGAAGTATGAGCCTAGACTGTGAGCTCAAAATCCCAACAAGGGGCATAAACCCACACCCCTCTGACTCAAAGTCAAGAGTGCTATTAAATGTGTAATAAAATACCTCTCCCTGTAATTGCCCTTCACAACTGTGAATCTGTGCTGTCTTGTCCTGCTGCCTTGGCTATTTCTGAACTGTGAAATTGTAACATACTTTCTATTCTGTTCACAGAGAGAGAAAAGGTGGCTTCCGAAATGGCATGTTTGGCCTATAATTCAATTTGTTATTTGGTGGGAGTTTCACCCACAAAATACAGTCAACCTAAATTTACAATATATTCTGTGAAGCTCTTTGAGACGTGACAAGACTCTATATCAAATGCAAGGATTATTATTATTATTCAGTGAGCACGAAGCATTACTGTAATCCCCAAGAATGAAGCTTGAATGAGCCTAACACAGAGTGAAAGCGAGAGCAGCGGATGAATGTTCTGTTGGTGCTTGCAGCAGTTTAACTGGATCAGCAGTAAATCCAGTTGATTCATGGAAACATGGATTTAGGTCAAATGTTACTGGAATTTTAAGGGTATGGTACATTAATAATGTGCCGTACAACACTTCTATACAGTGGAACTGAGGAATAGACAAACGACTATTTGCAATTAAAGTATTCTGTCAGTATTCGCCCACAAATATATGGTCAATTCACTTTACAGTATATCCTGTGAAGAGTTTTGAGACGTCTAGAAGACGTGAAAAGCTCTATATCAAATGCAAGGATTATTATTATATATTTATTATTCTAATAATAATAATCCTTGCATTTGATATAGCACCTTATCACGTCGTTGAGATGTCTCAAAGCGCTTGACAGAATATACCGTAAATGTGTAATGTCTGAGCACACATTCATTCAGACACAGTTAAACCACAATAAAATTAACTAATTTTGCTTCTGAATCTGTACGTTTAGACTTTTTAATACTGTGGTTCTGGAAACAGTCAGACTAATGTGACTGACTGGTGGTGCAGTGAATTTGTATAGGTGAATTTTCACATTTAGGACTGGGTTGCAATCTAGCCAATCTGATAGAATGAAATCATTTGAAAACACTTTCTGCATCTCAACGCAGTTCGTCAACTAGTCTACAATTTAAACTCTTAACCAGACGCTAAACTAGGTCCCTGGTATAGGAAATAGAAATTGCACAGGGTGCAGTAGTGCATGGTTGGGGCTAAACACAATGTTGAGGAACAGTAGGAGTCTACTCTGTAGATAGACAGTCTACCCAATGTGAGAGTGGTTGATGCTGAAACTGTCCAAAAAATAAATAAATAAATATAGACAAATGTTACATTTTCAATCATTCTCATTACTGCACCAGGTTACCTAGCATTCTGAGTACGATTTTATTATGTAAATACGATAATAGGACTGGGGCAAATATTAGACAGCTATGTATTAAATCTGATAACTCCATTATTGAATGTATAAAGAGCTAAACTTGGTAACAAGCTAAATCTTGCAGGCCATCACATACATCAATATCGCATAACTGTGGATGTTATGAATGTTTGTCTTCCTTTTAAATTGATACCCATGTATTTCATGTATTGTCACAGCTCCCATTTACCATTGCTGACACTTATTTCAAATGCCAGACTGGCTTGACCAAGCTCATTAAATTTCTTTTAATTATGGTCTGAAATGCAAGTTAAATCTGAGTGAAATGTCAATTTTCAAGAAAGAATTGCAGCAAAATCAGTGGGAAAACATTTTTCATCTTAAATATATTCCATAAAATTAGATGGCAACAGACAGCCTGATGCACAAAGAGGAATATTGTGTGTGTGTGTGTAGATAAAAGGACACCAGAGTTCGAGTTGTATTACAGTAACAACTTGTCCTTAGATGACACTTTTCACATAGGATGAATGTTTCAAAGCCTTTCATAGAGATGATGGGGGGGGCAACGAGCCATGAGGGAGGAAGGAAAATCTTAAACGTGTAAATCAAAGGCACAGTCAAAAAGAGAAGTTTTCAAAAGGATTTTTAAGAGTTGGGAGAGACAAAGCAAGGCAAAGGGATTTTGCGAGAAAGGCGAAATTATATTCCCTACTGGCTAATAACAATTTTCTACATGAAATTGATCATTCACTTCATGGCTGTCTGTGGGACGTTGCTGTACACAAATGTCACTAGAGTTACCGAACCATGCCGGTTCCACCCCATTAAAATGAATGTTCAATGGCAGATCATGCTATGGAGCCTTGTGGGATTGTGTTATCAACAGTGATATTCAAATACAGGCTTTTTATATTGTTTCCTCTCTTAGTGATGACCTGAGTGTGACAGGAACAGATAATTGCACTTTCAATGGTTGTCAAAAAGCACTGGGAAAAGATGATTTTACAAAGATTCCGAATGGGGTGAATGGTGTGGAAGACAGGATGTCCATTATATGGGAGAAAGGAGTGGTAAGTATCACTTGTTGGGAGCAATCTAGATATTTGGTTATAGATGTTCAGGTTTCAGAGCATGTACGGCAGGGGGATTGACATTGGGCAAAGCCATATTTAACCTGTGAGCAGCTCTTTGATCTGTATTCCTATTTTATCCAAGATCTAAAGTGTTCCAGAGATTGGAGAATTGGATAAATATAATCACGAGGAATGATTTTAAAGGAATGCAAAAATCCTCTGTACAGGTTCACTTCAACCACTGTGGCATTTTAATCCAAGTAATTGTCTTTCTTTCCTCCAAACCCCAAATCCCTGACATCCAGAACTTCTCCCCAGTGCACAGTCACACACTTGCGCCCATGGACATGTCACTGTCAGTGTGCACAATGCTGGTTTAACTCAACATTAAAAGCTTCAGTGAGTGAAACTGTCTCCCAGTCCTGGAGTGCACAATCTCTCCATCTAAGAGCAGAAATTACTCAAAACTCATAAAACACAGGTGAATGTTTGCAGTAGGGATGGTATTAGGGACTCCAAATTGCAAATTGGATACTGCTGTATATTAACCAAATAAAACCGCAAGTGTTGAAGCACAAGTTAGCTTCCCTCTCCTTGTTTGGCTTGAAACCCATTACCTGTTAGAGTGTTAGTTTATAGAGTTATCAGGAGCTCAGTGATAAGAACCTCAGTTTCCGAGTCCTACTGATGAGCCAGATAGCCTGGTCAACTATCAACAATGGCCTAGAAAACTGCGGAGTTACCTCACTCAGACATTGGATCACTAAATCCACCCAGAGAGGTTGATTCACTTCCCTTCCCCTCTGCCAGACATGAGGCCATGGAGCTTAAAGATAATTTTTTTGTTAACGATATTTGACCCATTGGATTAAAATGATTGTTGTTGCAGAAGAATAATCATGTGGCATATATTTTACAATTACAAGTCGTGTTTGAACTGACTCTGTGTCTGCGGTTTTATTCTTTGTTTTTACAATGATTAATGAGAATGGGGAAACTATACATAACTTTTTCTTTCAGCACAATGGTAAAATGGATGAGAACAGGTTTGTTGCTGTGACCAGTACAAATGCAGCAAAGATCTTCAACCTTTATCCCAGGAAGGGGAAGATTGCTAAAGGCTCTGATGCTGATATCGTTGTTTGGGACCCGAATGCTGTCAGGTATATTGGCTGACTGAGCACAAGATAGTGTTTAAAAGTGATGTGACACATACCAATTATATCACAGCCTAAGTGTCATAACATATTTAAAATAACTTTGGCAAATATATTTGTAAAAGTGACCATCTAGGGAATAATGCCACGGATGCACCTGTTAATGGGTATCAATTCATCCTAAAACACAGTGGGATTGCTTAATTAATTAATCCAGAAGTAACTCATGAGAAGTCCTTCCGATGTGATCTATTTTCAGAGTGGTGTTCCTTTGAGTCAGCGTGACTTACTTACATTTATCAGGAGTCCTCCGAAGGAATTCTGTTTAAAATCACTGTCTGTAGATACTGTAGTTTTGGTTCAGCTGGAACTTCAGGTGCAAAAACAGCACCAACATTTGAATGTCCCTATTGTTTGGGCTGAGTAAAGGGAGCTCCTTGTGAGTTTGTGTTTAGGAACACAGGAACAGGCGTAGGCAATTCAGCCCGCTGAGCCTGTTCCGCCATTCTTTTAGTTCATGGCTGATTTGTACCACAATTCCAATTACCCGCCCTTGCCCTATATATCTTGATATCTTGACCTAACAAATATCTGTCCACCTCAGTCTTGAAAAACTGATTTGATGGTAAAATTGACCAAATTATGTATGAGCTGCTATTAAAGGCTGCATTAATAGCTGTTGGTACACGTGGAATGGCTACATTGATGTCTCCATACTGTTGACTAAATAAAATGTTGCTGCTTGATAGTGAAGATCAAAATATTATTTTTCAGCAGTGCTTACTATGAATTTGCTTGTTTCTTGTCAACCAGGACTATTTCTGCCAAGACCCATCACCAGGCTGTTGACTTCAACATTTTTGAAGGAATGGTCTGCCATGGGGTCCCTGTGGTCACCATCTCACAGGGGAAAGTGGTATTTGAAGATGGTCTCCTGTATGTCGTGCAGGGGGAGGGGAAGTACATTCCACGGAAACCCTTTGCTGATTATGTCTTCAAGCGAGTTAAACAACGTGACCAGGTTCGTAGCTCTTTGGAAGATAATGTCATTTATGAGAATGGTTCTGGCTGGCACAAAGCTGAACAAGTCCACTCGCCAGAAGATCTGGCACAAGTTACCTCCCGAGTCTGTTCTGCATTAAAATCCAATTCTTCTGTTTGCTGGTAACTGTAATTTTGTTTGAAAAAGTTCTCGAGGAAAACAGTCACTGTGGCTTCTCATTCAGTAAAAGTGCCACAATGTAAACTGTGTTTTCTGATGGGAACTCACAAGACTTTAACAGCAAGAAGGTCTCTTGTCTCTGTGACTAACAGGGGATTCCATCCAGAACCAGATTTCATGTTGCAAGGCTGCCTTTCCTGAGAATAGTTTTTCTTCCCTGCAAACCATCTTTACATTTGTGCCTGCTAGGAGGCAGAAGGAAGAGTATCTTCTTTTTAACCTGTTTTGTTACCTTTAGTAACATAAAAGCTTAGCATAATGATTGTCTTAAGCATAAGGTTATAAATACGTGAATTTAGTTCTATAGACACTGGAGGAGGGGTGGGGCAGGGGATGGAATTGGCTCAAAGGAAGGGAAGTCTTCCAAGACCTGGGGGGAGTGATGTGAATCACTGCATTCTTTAAGCCATTAGTTTCTCTTTGTACTGAATAAGAAAAGCACAGAACGAAAACAAGATTATATCAAATCCAGTCCTTCATTTCACACAAAATATACCCTATCATTGACTGCACTTGTCCATTTTATCTCCTGGGGTATTGTATTAAATACTCCTTGAGTCCCAAAGTTATTTGAACCAAATCTTCAGAATAGTGATCCGATCCTTCTTATCCCAGAGCTTTGTGAAATCTTCTCTCATGGTCTGAGGGGTGATCTTTACTCATACTGTGCTGTGCGCCAACCTGTATGTATTGGAATAGTTAAACAGAGCTGTAAAGAATTAATGCTGTTTTGATGTGAGCCATGTACCTGTCATTTCTAGAACATGTTAACATAAGAGATTCTTGTGCAGGTTTTAACAATTGTTGGTTTGTACTCAATCCAGACCTGTCAGCCTACACCTGTACAGAGAGAGCCATACCAAGGAAGTGTTGTGTCATTACTACCAACTGGTACATCTCGGCCTGGGGGGAGAGATCTCCACCAGTCAACATTTACTCTATCTGGTATGCATCACATTTTAAGATCTGGAATACTGTCAAAAGCCTTTGAATCACAAGTTCACTCAGGCCTTACTTGAAGATTATTAGATGAAAGATTGGGTGCTGGCCCATAGAAAGCTTCTTATTTAGCTCAAAAAAGTATTCTTTTAAGCTTCCAAGCAATTAGATTGTATGAAGATGTAAGGAATTCATACTCATTGGGCTTCCTCAAACTGCGACTCCGTCTATGGGCTTTTGAAACTCATTGAGAAACAACACATTTTCTCCCCTTAAACCTTTTCAATGTTCCACTGCTTTAGATAATTGAGAATGTCAAAATGAGAAGATTGCCAGCATTTTGGAGCTCTATTGCACAAAACTATTCAGGTAGCAGCACTCTGGTTATACCTACAGACCAGGATCTTTAGCCATAAATCCTAGGATGGGGCATGACCAGGATTTGTCAGGTACTCCACAAGTCATGGCAGGAGTCTGTTGGAGGAAGGGTT